AGTTTTGTATTTCATTTTGAAACCAACGTCCTAGAGTCTGGATGAAGTGTGGAGAAGCTCCTCGCCCAAGTTGCTTGATTTGCAGTGTTAAGTTTCCACAGTCTGTGATGATTTGGGGTGCAATGTCATCTGCTGGTGTTGGTCCATTGTGTTTTTTGAAAACCAACGTCACTGCACCCGTTTACTAAGAAATTTTGGAGCACTTCATGCTTCCTCCTGCTGACCAGTTTTTTGAAGATGCTGATTTCACACTGCCAAAAGCACCAAAAGTTGGCTAAATGACCATGGTGTTGGTGTGCTTGACTGGCCAGCAAACTCACCAGACCTGAATCCCATAGAGAATCTATGGGGTATTGTCAAGAGGAAAATGAGATACAAGAGACCAAAAAATGCAGATGAGCTGAAGGCCACTGTCAAAGAAACCTGGGCTTCCATACCACCTCAGCAGTGCCACAAACAGATCACCTCCATGCCACGACGAATTGAGGCAGTAATTAAAGCAGGAGCCCCTACCAAGTATTTAGTACATGTACAGTAAATGAACATACTTTCCAGAAGGCCAACAATTCACTAAAAATGTTTTTTTATTGGTCTTATGAAGTATTCTAATTTGTTGAGATAGTGAATTGGTGGGTTTTTGATAAATGTGAGCCAAAATCATCACAATTAAAAGAACCAAAGACTTAAACTACTTCAGTCTGTGTGCATTGAATTTATTTAATACATGAGTTTCACAATTTGAGTGGAATTACTGAAATAAATGAACTTTTCCACGACATTCTAATTTATTGAGATGCACCTGTATAATCATACATATAATTTGTCATATATATATATATATATATATATATATATTTGTACAGGAACTGGAGTACAAATTGGACCCCAAGACAAACAACTTGCCACACCTCCGTAACCCAGATATCCTGGTGGGAGAAAATGACCTGACGGCTCTCAGTTACCTTCACGAGCCCGCTGTGTTACACAATCTGAAAGTGCGCTTCATCGATTCCAAACTCATCTACACGTACTGCGGTAAACACACATACACACACACACTAGACACACAATGTATCTAGAATTATTGAGCTCAGTGTTTTTTATTGTTTGACCCAGGTATTGTTCTAGTTGCTATAAACCCATATGAGACGCTGCCCATCTATGGAACTGACATCATTAACGCGTACAGCGGGCAGAATATGGGTGACATGGACCCTCACATCTTCGCAGTGGCAGAAGAGGCTTACAAACAGATGGCCAGGTGGGGTTGAACAAGTTGAAGCTGGTTAAATGAATAAGATGTTAAGATAAATATGTTAGATTTAGTTTGAAATTACATCACACCTGTTCATTGTTTGATTTGGTTTCAAGTATGTTGGGGTCTTAGTAACGCATTACCTTCAAGTAATGCACAGATGTTTGAAGGCCTATTGCCCTAAATGCAAAAGCATGTTAAAAGCAATAGTTCACCCAAAATGAAACTGTCATCATTTACTCACTGTCAAGTTCCAAATCAGCATGATTTTCTCTGTGCTTTGGAAAACAAAAGATGATACTGTATTTTGAAGAATTTTGGGGTCCAAACAACAGTAGGCCTCAGAAATGTCATATGGGTTTGGAATGACACGAGAGTGGTTAAATTAGTCTTTTTCAATTTTGGGTGAACTACCTCTTTAGGTACAGTTACAGTGGTTAACAAATTTATTAGACCACCACCACTCCCCAATGTAAGATTTGTGCCACAGCTGCCCTAAACTAACAGTATTGGTGATTACCAAAATTATTTTTTTATGTTTCTGTAATGGTTAATCCACCAGTATGTGTAAGCTCTTTAGTCACAGTAGTATTTGTAATGCTAAAATATAATTATTCTTGTTATCTATGCATTTTCAAATTGACTGTTTTACAAGAAAGAAAGGAAAAAATGGTAAAGCACTTTATTATAATTTTTTTATTTATATGCCCAATTACAGTCAATAACAACAGATACTGTGGAAAAGTACATAAAAACAGTGCCAGCAAGAATGTTATCAAGGGCAAAGGAGGCCATACACAATATTACGTTTTTTGGTTATTATGCATGAATAAAGACTATTTACAGTAGTTGTTTCAGTTTGTTATTTGCCTAATAAATACAATTTTTAGTTTTAAACAAGTTTTTGACATATTCCTAAAATATTTCTGTTTTCTCTTTATTATGACAAGTGATATAATAAATATACAGTGCTTGACAAATTTTTTTGACTGTAATAAAGTACTTTACTATTTTTTCTGCCTTTCTTGTAAAACTGTAAATTTGAAAATTCATGGATAACAACAACAATTATATTTTACCATTACAAATACTACTGTGACTAAAGAGCTTACACATACTGGTGGATTACCCATTACAGAAACATAAAAAAATATTTTGGTAATCACCAATACTGTTAGTTCGGTGGCAGCTGTGGCACAAACCTTACATTGGGTGGTGGTGGTCTAATAAATTTGTTAAGCACTGTATGTACAATGGAACTGAGCTTGCATTGCATTAGCCAAAGCATTCACGTTTGCACAGAGTATGTCTCTGGTTTTACTGTCAGCTGGTAAGTGTGTGAGTATGAGCTATACTGCTCAATCGAAAGAGAAGGTTTATAGGTCAGGATGTTGCTCACTGCAGCTCAGCCATAAATAGACCAGCCACGGTAATGTTTCTCTCGTTCATTTTCTTGGGTCACTCACTTCTTTTCAATGCAGCTGCAATGGTTTACACAACTGGACCTGTCTGTCTGAAATTTTCATTGATAAATGGATGCCTGTATTGCAAATGCTGCAGTTTTGGTGAAACATAATTTCCTCAAAGCCTTGTGTTTTTCCTCTACAGTCCTTGCTGTACACCTCCAGAACACCTTAGTAACCACCTAACAACTACCCAGAACACCCTAGGAACCACCCACAACACCTTGCATCTCCCTAACAACCATTCAGAAACCCTAGTAACCCCCAGCAATGCCCTAGCATTGCGTAGAAACATCTTAAAAGCAATAAAAGTTTTAAATGGGCAAACACCACTCACATTTTCTTAAAAAAATAAAAAGTAGAACTTTTTTTTTTCCCCTTGCATTTATCTTGAATTTTTTTCACATCATTCAGGGATGAGAGGAATCAGTCCATCATTGTGAGTGGAGAATCTGGAGCAGGGAAAACTGTTTCAGCCAAATATGCCATGCGCTTCTTTGCCACTGTCAGCGGCTCTGCCAGCGAAGCAAATGTGGAAGAAAAAGTTCTGGCATCCAACCCTATCATGGAGGTGAGCTCTTCCTGCATTATTAGATCAGTGTGTCGTTCTGGACTCAGTACTGAGACTTGGGCTGTTTGTTTTCATGAAGGTCTTTAATAATACAGACATTCATATCTCAGAAAGCCAAACCCCTTGGGCTGAGAGACTAAAAGCTCACTGGCTAAACATGAGTGTCTTATTCAGAGAGTTATATCTGCCCTTCACTGCATGGTCTTCATCTCCCCAGGGCTCATTTCCCTCGGAACAGCAGCACAGAGAGTGTGTATGTGTGTGTTTGAGTGCCCGCATGTGTGTTAATGTAAGTTCAGTGTTACCATGAATGCTCGTATGACAAATGGGCTAAAGGCACACTTAAAAAAAAATGGTTTTCACTACATCCATGATAATACAGGTGCATCTCAATAAATTAGAATGTCGTGGAAAAGTTAATTTATTTCAGTAATTCAACTCAAATTGTGAAACTCGTGTATTAAATAAATTCAGTGCACACAGACTGAAGTAGTTTAAGTCTTTGGTTCTTTTAATT